GAACTCAGCGGGGCGGCCCTTCCCCGGGGCCTGGGCCATGGCCGAGGACTGTGTGAGTGGAGCCAGGCAGGGTCTGGTCTGGAGCCTCAGAGACGGGTGGGCCCTAGCAGCCCCAGTCTTCCGTGTGACCAGGTCTGCTTATGAGCCACCCTGACCCCCTTCTTTCAGGTGTAAAGCAGGCAGAGGACCACAGCCCAGGGGGCAGCTGTGAAAACTAGCCGGCGAAGGTCGCGGTGGTGATGAATGTGGAGCAGCGGCCGGGTGGGCTCGTCTGGGCTCCAGGCTGGGAGACCCAGTGGGCCGTCGGGGCAGACCCCCTGGAAAGCAGTTTGAAGGAGCCAGAAGACCTTGGAGGTGGAGACGGCAGGGAGGGTGCTGGGGGGTGGTAGTGACCAGGGTGGACACACAGCCTTCCCGTGTTTGCCTGTAGGGCTATGTGTGCGTGTGTTTACAGTCACGCCTGGGTGCATAGTTGCTTTACTTGTGTCTGACTCCCTGCGGCCCTATTGACTGTAACCTTCCAGGCTCCTCCTCCATGGGATTCTCCAGGCAAGAATACTGCAGTGGGTTGCTATGCCCTGACTCAGGGATCGAACCAGGGTCTCCTGCATTGCAGGCGGATTCTTTACCAGCTGAGCCCTTACTGAGTCTCAATCCCGGCTTTAAGGCTTAAGTGGCCCACGGCCGTCCTTGTTTTTGTGAGAGACGTGGCAAGAGCCAGGTGGGAGTCCTGGTGGATAGCTGAGCGCAGGGTTTCTCCTGGACAAGGTCAGCGGTCCCGGGGGTGGCGTCTGAGACTGTGTGACCGTTCCTGGCCTCCTGGCCCCTGCTGTTCTGGGGCTTTGTCCAAGGTGCTCTCCCAGCAGCAGATCTGCAAGGGTCCTGCCCCTGGGAGCTGGCTGGGACTTCGAGTCTTGCCCGCAGGAAGAGGAGGTGTGGCGTTCTCAGGGTCCGAGGGACAGGCGGCCCCCGAGGCTGCCCGCCTCCCGTCCCACAGGCATGGGCGCCCTCAGTGGGACCCGACTGTGCATCCAGCAGCTGCCTCCCTCCTTCCAGGGGCAGGAAACCCTTAAAGGGATGATGGACAGTGGGGGCTCTCTGGACTCAGGGCTGTGGGCTGGGGGGGCACCTAGTGGTGCAGAAGGAAGGCCATGCAGCCCCGTCTCAACGTGCCTAGAGACTCAGTGCTGTGTGCACCCAGGGCCTCAGAGCAGCTTCCGGAGCGGGGCGGGGCAGAGACCACGGGTGCGTCCCAGGGTACCCAGGGTCCATCTCCTGCCCTCCACCCTCCTCCAGTGCCCAAGCCTGTGCTCATAGGCCCGGGGGGAGGGGCGGGGGCAGGAAGCGGGTATGAGGGGCCTGTGGGATGGGGGCTTCCTGGGGAGGCAGCCTGGAGGCTTTGGGGCTGGCCCAAGGCCCGGGGAGACAGAGCTCCCTTCTGCACTGGAACTTGGGCTGCCTGGGCGCCAGGGGTGGGGCTTGGTGAGGCGGGGCTGGGGGCTTTCTGGGGGGCTTTCTTAGGGGCTTCCTGGGGTGGGCCTGGAGAGGGACTGGAGCTCACTCTCCAGCCTCCCGAGCTCTGCCTCCTCCGCCACACGACACAGGGGACCCTGTCGCCGCAGGCCTGACCCGGGGTATGGCCTCGTTCAGGACTGGGCCAGTGAGCCTTGGGGGCTTTGTGGAGTAATCCCAGGTCCTGGTCCTCTCTTGGCCCCCCTTGCCTACCTTCCACCTGGCCTGGCCTGCCATCCTGTACCCAGCCAACGTCTCTGTCATTCAAGGGCGGTCCTAATGCCCCCGCCTCTGAGAGGCCACCCCTGATCCAGCCCTGGTGGATGTGGTGTGCCCCCTGTGGGCCCCACTTCCTGTCCTGCCACAGCCAGGCCCCCAGAGCTAGGTCTGGTGGGTGTGCAGGTCTGCTGGGTGTGCAGGACCAGTGGGTGTCTCAGGACTAGTGGGTGTCCAGGTCTAGTGGATGTGCAGGTCTAGTGACCATCCCCCCCTTACCCTGTCACAGGGAGATGGAGGGCCCACAGATAGATGGGGCAGCGGAGTGGCTGAGAGAGAGCCTGGGCCGGGCAGAGTGGGTGGGGAGATGGAGGGGCTAGAAGGGCCAAGGGAACACGGCCTAGGCTGAGGAGCCAGAGCTGCAGCGGGCAGCCCTACCCCCCTCCAGCGGGCAGGTCTGCTCCCAGAAAACAGATTCAGGAGGCCTGGTGCAGGTGTGGGCCGTGATTCTTCAGAGGTGCTGGGGGCTGGGCTACACGGGGCTGCGGGCTGGGGTCTAGAGATGGAGGCTCAAGAGTGGGGCGAGCAGGAGGAAGGCGCCGGCCAGGCCACGGGGGCCACTCAGGGTGGGCGCCCCATCCACGTTGCACAGGTCAGCGTTGCAGCAGGACACGGGCCGGGTCCAGCCGATGCCGTCCACGTCTGAGGGCACGCACTTGCTGGCACAGGACTTGGTCACCGTGGAGTCCCCCAGGAAGGGGTACACTGGGGGCACAGGGGCGCTGGTGTCAGGCTGGCCCCCAAGCCCCAGCCCAGCCACCTCCTGCAGCACCCTCTCTGCCTCAGCCCCTCCGTGACTCGGCCCCTCCTTCCTTCTACCACCCTTGCACCAGGGGCGCGCAGTGACTTGTTCAGGATGCCTCGAGGGGCGAGGCTGCTCCGTGACTCCCCAGCCAGGCTGCAAGAGCCTCCCACTCCAGGAAGGAGGGTGAGGAAAGAGGGAGGGAGCCTGGCTGCTTGGACCAAAAGCCCTCTCTGGAGATGACACAGGCGGGGGCCGCCCTCTGCACACAGGGCCCGGGCTGGAGGCAGCTCCGACCCCGGGGCGCAGCCCGCCCACTGACCTGTCTCCAGGGAGTACAGTGTGGTCTTGCACATGGTCTCGTTGGCGTTGCAGGTGGTGATGGTGATGCAGCTGGACACGCTGATGGGCTCGGGACACGCGTAGCATTGCAGGGTGACCGCTGGGGAAGGAGCGGCCGGGGCCGGTCAGGCAGGCCTGTCCCTCGCAAGCCTTGGGACCCCAGAGCCCAGGTTTGAGGGGGACAATGCCACCGAGCCTCCAGTTTCCCACCAACCAAAACCCCAGGAAGATTCAAGAGCCGCAAGCTGGGTCCCTGAGCCCTGAGGCAGAGTGTGCCCCTGGGGGTCGGGCTCAGCCTGCCGGCCAAAGCCGAAATTAAGCAGTGTTGGGGGTGCTGGGGAGGCACACAGAGGTGGGGCTGCACCCACGCCTCTGCAATAAAGGGCCTGGCAGGGGCCGGGAGGACCTCCCTGCAGCAGGTCACCCCCTGCACGCCCCAGGCGTCCTCATCAGCAACATGCAGGACCCCAAGTGCTGCAGGGGGATCGAGGATCGGGCAGGGAGGTGTATGGCTGCAGGGTGGGCTGGGCCGGGCCTGCTGTGCTGCTGGTGGAAGCTTAACAAGGGAGAGGAGGAGAGCTCAGGCCCAGAGGGACCCAGGCGGGTCAGGGCATGGGCTGACAAGCTGACCCCTTCCCTCCAGCGCCGCCGGTGCCCCAGGCGGACCCCCGCAGCCTGACCCTCCACCCCCACTGCTGTTACTGTGTCTCCCAGGACACCTCCGTTTCCTTCTGGGCAGGACCACCTGGCTGGGGCCCACCCCACCAGCTCCTCCTTGGGTTGGAAGTGGGGCCCGTGAGGGTCTGGGCGTCTGAGACCCAAGTCCCCCAGGATGTCCGGTTCGCTTCCCTCTTTTCCGCCTCCTGCCACCCCCACCCCAGTGCCTCCCCAGGGTCCCCACAGCATCTCCTGCATCCTGCCCTGGGAACCACGGCCCCGGAATCTGGGAATGTCACTCTGACCTTGCCCGCCTGCCCCAGCGGAGAGCCCATCCCTGGTATCCATGCCCCTGATGAAGGGCCATTCCCTGCACTGGGCACCCAGGGCCTTGGCGGCCAACCACCCTGCCAGTCCCAGCCCTGGACAGTGCCTCCCGCTGTCCCTGTCCTCACCCTCCCTGGGCCGCAGGCGCCTCTCTGCTGGTGCCGATCTGTGCCTGCCCCCCACGCCCTCCTCACCTTCCTGCTTTCTGCCTCTCCCTGGCCCCCGCTGCCCCCCTCCGGCTGCCGGGCACCCCTCACCGAGCTCACAGCAGGCGGCCAGCACCAGCGCCGGCAGTGCCAGCCGTGTCCCCCACATGGTCTGGTTCCTGCAGCGCGTCAGTCCTGGGCCTGCCCCCCCGGGGATGGGAGCACTGTGCAGCCACCCGACCGGTCAGCTGAGCAGATTAGGGGGATCGGTTTCCCAGGTGGCGGAGGTACGGAGGCCCGCCCCCTGCCCAGGGGCTCCACCCGCCTCCACCTGGACCCGCTCCTCCATGGCTCTCCTCCACCCCTCCCCGCCCCTTCCTCATTCCTCTGCCTCCCGCAGTCTGGGCCCCTCCCTGCACCCTCATGACCCCCTGGTGACCCCCCTCTTATGGTTGGGGGTCCTCGCCTGCCTCTGTAACTCTCTCGGGGGTGCTCCGACTTCTCCCCACCAGACGGTACTGCCCCTCAGGATGGCCTCAGCCTGCCTGGAAGGGAGCAGCAGAGGGGGGCTCCCCTGCACCCTGACTCCCGCCTCTGTCAGGGGCCTTGTATGCCCACTCCTGTCTGCGGCGTTGAGTCCTGGCCTAGTGGTTCTGGGTTTGAGTCCTCCCAGGGTGCCCAGGCCCCCACAGCTTCTTTGAGGTGGTCACGTGGGGCATCGTGATGGGGAAATGGTCGCCTGGACAACCAGCCAATATGTGCTCAGAGGCTTAAGGGCACAAAGACAACAAAACTGCTGGGTCAACAGAAAGATCCTGGACGGTAGGGGGGAGGGGTGGGGTTGCAGGGGGACACGAATCCTGGTGTCCCCTCCAGGGGCTGGCACACCTTGGTCAGAGCCCCTGGCTCCACTGCAGGTCAACGAGTTGACAGGATGGGCCTGGCCCCAGACTCAGAAGGGGGAGAAATGGATTCGGATTCAGATTCCGGCCCATGGTTCAAGCGGCTGGAGGCACTGCTAGCCCGCCCACACCCCCCCGCCCCGGGGGCTGCACCTCGGCCTCTCCGGGGTCTGCCCTGTCTGTGACCCCACCTCGCTGCTCTGGGCCCCATGCTGCCCCAGCCCGCGAGGGTAGGTGCAGGACAGGGCTGTTGACAGGCCTGGTTGGCCGGGCTGGGCTTGACTCACCCAGCTCCACCACGGCCCCGCTGGGCTCCTCCCTCCTCTCCCATCGGGCCCAGATCTTGCTCTGCTCCAGCTCCACCCCTGCTTTCCTGCTCCAGGGTGTCCTTCCCTCCTCTCGTCCTGTGGCTGAAATTCTGCCTGGGAGCCCCCACCCCACCCGATCACCCCCATTGGCCTTTTCTAGTCCCAGGGACAGCAGCTCCATGTGGGCTGTGGTCTTTGATCCCGAGACTGGGAGGGCTGTGTCTCCCAGGGCACCAGGGTGGAGAGGGGCGCCTAGCCTTCCCTAAACACCCAGAAGGTGTCAGACGCCCCGCCTGCTGCCTGCCAGACCTGGTTCCTGACACCACGGCTAGTGGCGGTGCCAAAGTTTCAGATGCGGGATGAGAGGCTGTCGTAGCGAGTTGACAGGTTGGTCACTTGGAAGCTGGGCTGGGCGGGGGCCAAGACAGCAGCCGGGCCTGTCTGATTCCGCCACTCCCCAGGCCTCCGGGTTGATGCTGGGCGCGGCTAACAGGAACAGACAGCACCTCGCACACACGAGCTTCCTCATGGGCCATTCTTCCAGCGGCTGGCCCAGCCCAACGCTTTCCATCCTCAGACCCAGGGACCCCACCTGTCCTTTTCTTGGAACAAGTCTGGCCTCTGGGCATTAGCTCCTCCTAGAGTTTCTGCCTGGCCCCCACAGGGAGACACAGGCTGAGCCTCTCTGAAGTCGCAGCTGTGCACAGGGTGAGAAGGAATGTGCCTCAGCCAGGGTCTGGGTGCTCTGCTGGGAAGCCTCCCTGCTAGGAGGTCTATGCCCTTCCCTGCTCCTCTAGGAGCCTCGGGGTCAGTGTGCACAGTGTGACCAGGGTCAGAGGTCAGTGCGACCATGGGCAGGGGTCAGCTTGTGACCAGGGTCAGAGTGTGACCAGAGTCAGGCTCAGTGTGTGACTGGGATCAGGGGTCAGGTGTCACTGTCACTTTGTCTGGGAAACTCTTGTGTCCTTAGAAAGAACAAACTAGACAAATAGGTTGAAAAGGCAGGGAGCAAAGGTCAGTAAAGAATTACTGTAACCAGCAGTCTAAGCAGGAGTCGGAACCAGTAGCAAAACTTGATCTTGGTCCAGATAGAGTCAACACTTGGGTTACCCTCTTCACAGGAATGGAGCCATTTGGAGTGGTCATATATATTTTCTGATGTATTTTTCTATTAACCTAGTGTTATTGATGTAGGTACAACAGACCCAGTTAGAAGTAGTTGAAGGACTGACAACATGAACATTAGCAGACAAAATAAATCTTTTTTTTTTTTCCAGGAGAAAGCCTGAAAGCCAATCTGGACCTGGTGCTTTGCCAGATAGCCAGTTGTCTAAGTTTGTCTGAGTAGGTTCTAGACTTTTAATGTGGTATTAACATATAAGCCAAAGTAGTTGTCTCCAGTAGCAATTTTACTGTTTTTCTAGGTAGGAGAAGATGTAAGAATTTGGGCCCAAGAAAATCCTTACATGAAAATATCTAACTATCTGAAGGCCTGTTTTGTCCATTTTCCCAGAGCTCAAAGTGAGTGCCTAATTTCTGATCTCTGCCCTGAATTCCTTTCAGGGGGTGTTGAAGGGCAGCAGCTGTAGTGGCCATGATTTAACCTTTGTAGAGGCACACAGCAAATGCCAGGCTTCAGTCGACAGGGCCCCTTCACAGCCATAAGTTGACCACGGTTTGGGGGCATTTCATGACCATTTTGTCCCACGGTGCTAGGAATGCTTACTCCCAGGTCTGTCAAAGATTTCACTCATCGGCCACTCAGTGTGCTGTTTCTGGACCAGGCCCTGTGAGTAGCAAAAGTCTCTGGACCACACCTGTCTTACTGGCTCTTGGTCCAGGGAAATAGTCCCTCTTGTTGCTTCTTTTTATATCTGGAGTCACAGTATTACAATCATTGATCTCATATGGAACTGTAGCCCATCATTTTATCAGTGGCTCAGTTACACACTTGGTAATGTAAGAAACAACACTTTTTGAAACAGGCAATATAGAAAACAATATAATAAATAATATGTATTATATTAAATATATTTATAACTTATATTAAATATATTAAATTCTGTTAATAACAAAATTTATTTACCTAGTTAATTTTAATTTAATCTTAGAAAGCCCCTTCCCTTTTTAAACAAATCTTGAAGAGGTAATATTTTTGCACAGGCCTCAGAATGAAACCATAGCCCTCTGTGATGACAGGCTTAAGAAGCACATTTCAAATCTCATTGCAATTCAATAGGCAAAGCAACTTGGTTGCTGCTGTGACAAATAATATTTTAAGAGTAACTAGAACTATGACTAGTAACATTCTACCAGGACATGTCAGATCTTTATGAATTCCATTTAATTGTTAGCACATCTGTATTAGTAACACCTACCACACAATATTTACCATATGACGAGTTATTCACTTAGCGAAAATAACAATGAAAGATTTCAAAGGCAGTTCAACATCTTAAGAAAGCCTGTACCATGTACAAAGCTCTTTTATCAGGTTCCACTTTCCAAAAACCTTTTTTCTGTGTGTATCCAATCACTTTTCCCACTCAGAAACAGTCACCTGTGAGCCAGACCTACTTTCTTTTTCCTTAATAAAATGCAATTTTATTCCTCATACCCTGTTTACCAAAAACACACATCCTCCTCTCTTTAAGGAACGAAGAACTGATCTTTATCTTAGCATTCCATAGATTGGAGAGCATAAATACGAGTTATAATTTCTAAAAACCTTTGCTTTCTTATAGAAAACATCTCAGGATGGCACCAACCATTCTTCATTAATAGTCCAAAATGTTTTTAGTTTTTCTGTAAGAGGAAATTAGTTTTCAGTAATCAGTGTTTCAGAATCTTATTTTATTTAGAAATGACGTAGCTAGTCAATAAACTTTTTCATCAGTTAGTTTAGCACAACCCTAAAAATTCAGGTTACCAAAATCTGGACAGACTGTTTTAGACATTCCTAAAGAATAATTATTCTTAACAGAATTTATCTAAAAGCTCCAATCTCATTTACATTCTTTCCTTAAAAAAATTTTCACTTGAGTTACTTTCCTTGCTGACAAACTTGTAACAGCTATAACAAAATTTTATTTAACTTATATTAAATGTAGCCACAATGAAAATATTATGCTTAATATTAATGACTCCGAGACCTGTCTATATTAGATCAATAAACATTAATACCAGCTGTTAATTTAACACTAAATACTTCCCAGTTTACATGAACCTGAAACTTATTTAGCTTAATTTTTCTTAGAATTAAGTGCATTTGTACTTAGAATTACAAGTTTCACTTGTAAGTACTTACTTTTCTTTAAACCAATTGAATAGAGTTCATTTACAAATTAACCTCAGCAATATTATCTAAAGACAAAGACACATATTGAGACACACATATATACCTGAACAGACAGGGATGTCATAGTTTCTGATTGAGATTTAAAATGTCTCTTAGCCCCCTTTTTTCCCCTTAGCTTGAAATTCTATTAAAAATCACCTCAAAGCTAAAGTTTCAGGCAAGGTGGGCTGTGTATCTCAAGGACATAAGAGTTAACTTCAAGTTTTCTTTAGGTATATATTTTTTAACAAGCTTTGTGAATGTCACTCAATTGTGTCTCACTCTGTGACCCCATGGACTATACAGTCCATGGAATTTTCCAGGCCAGAATACTGGAGTGGGTAGCCTTTCGCTTATCTAGAGGATCTTCCTAGCCCAGGTCTCCCGCATTGCAGGCGGATTCTTTCCCAGCTGAGCAACCAGGGAAGCCCAAGAATACTGGAGTGGGTAGCCTATCCCTTCTCCAGCGGATCTTCCCGACCAGGAATTGAACTGGGGCCTCCCGCATTGCAGGTGGATTCTTTACCAACTGAGCTACCAGGGAAGCCCAAGCTTTTAACAAGCCAGTTGTTTTTAATTGCATGTGCAAAAAGAACTGATTTTGCAATTTCAAAAGAAATTTTGTTTCAGCCCATTTTCTCCAGAGTCTAAAGAATATTGTGGCCACTTTCTTTTTTCCTTTTGTGATCATGGTCTCATAATTAAATTTAAATCAGGAGTGTTCAAATTGACTCTGACAACAGGGGCAGGTTGACTGATAAAATCTTGTCCCAGCAGAGACTGTCTCTCTGGGAAGGTGAGGCCTTTGTCCTGTCAGAAGAATCTGAAGGAGTAAGGGAACACAGGGGTGGGGGAAGCTTGTTTCTACCACCCCCGCCCAAGACATAGGAGAAATTAAAAGGGAATTTTTTAGAATGTTAGGAGAATTTTTCTGATTCCTCAGGCTTTTGATTATAGGAGAAAGTCCTAGACATAAGCAACTCTCAGTCCATTTTCCCATCCTGTGGCAATAAAGATAGGAGACCCATTTTCAGGTCCATTTTTAATTCCCAACTTAAATAAAGGCCAGGCACTGCTACAGTAAGACTTAATTTTTTCCTTTCTTAGCACATCTGTTTCTTCTGGCTTAGAAAGGGATCCACCCACATTGAACAGCCTACAGCCAAGAACACAGAGCTTGTAGAAAAGTAACCCCGCATACCAGCGTACCAACCATTTAGGAGGACCGGAGTATCCCCTGAATTCCGCTCAATCTTATTGTCTGATAGGGTTTTGAGTCATGAATCCACTGAATCATGGCCAGACGTCTCTGGCCCCCCTTTGATACCCTGCGCAGGGCGTCCAACCCAGCATGGCCAGAGAAGGGCTTTTACACTATTGCCAGCGTGTTGCCAGGGCTCTCCTTGAAAGAGGTCTGTTGTAGCACCGCAGTCTGCACTAAAGTGGCCAAGCTGACAGGCTGTCTGTTACAATGCACGGGCTGCCATGGCCTGGCGTAAAGGGGAACTCCTGGAGGGATGGAGGTGGCCGCAGTGGGAAATGCCACTGGGGTCAGATCTGAGGGCTGAGAGATGGAAGCATTTCCACAGAGGATTTCTGGACACAGAGTAAGACAGATGGGAGATTAAGCAGAAGAAGAACCCCAAGTCTATCACCTCGCTTGTGTGGAGTCTAAGGTAAATCTTGTTTCCCAAGTTAGAGTAGGTAAGAGAAAAAGTAAAGAACTGGGAGCAGGCCTGTGAGCAACACAGTGGGGTGGGGGTGGGGGTGGAGGGGAGAGATGCTGGAAGGCAGGGAGGGAATGTTTCTGGAATCCTCCCCCTCTAGGGGAGGTAATTTTTCTACCCTAGGAAATAAAGCGCATCAGGTAGCAGAGTGCAGTCGTTGGAGGCAGGGGCAGGTGCCGAGCTCCAGCTCCCAGTGCATTACTCCCAACGCTGATGAAGACACAGCCCTTGGGCATGGGGGGTGCTGGAGGTTATAGTCTAGGCAAAGTGAAAGAAAGTGGGAGAGAGGAAAGAGAAGAGAGGCTGGGCTCCTTCACTGAGCTGATGATGCCTTGCAGGTCTTGGGAAGGGAACAAAGCAGAATGTGAGCGCAAGCCAGTTCCCACGGGGGAGAGACAGAAAGCAAAAGTCAGAAGTCTCCAGCCAGCAATGTGGGCGAGACCTGCAACTTTACCTTAATTCCCAGGTTGCACCCCCCTCCCCACCACCCCCGGGGGTTTCCGCACCATTTGATCTCAGTGAGGCAGCAGGTGAGCAGTGGCATGAAGCAAGATCTTAATTCCCAGCCCAGGAATTGAACCCGAGGAGCCTGAATGAAAACCAGGGATTCTAGCCACCAAACCAGCAAGGGTTAGAGGCCAGAAGCTGTTTTTCCCTGGATCTTTGCCCCTTGTGAAAAATGCATTTATCACGTGGGCAGAAGCTGTAAATGCAGGTACACAGTTTATTATTAGAGACAGCAGCAAGTGGGAGGACACATAGAGAAATGGCTTGTTTAGCTGAGATAGAAGCAAGGCAGAGAGGCACACCCAGAGAGAAAGGGTGTGGGCAACCCCCCCTGCTGAGGAGGAGCCCTCTAAAGAGGCTGTTAAGTCATTTCTATTGATCAGTTCTTATGGGTCTTTCTCTTCCTTCAGGCTAGTTATCTGGTTTCTTTCTCCACACCTGACTTACCCTGGGACCCTCCCCTGGAATGCGCACACACCTGTCAGCCAAGATGGATCTTGAAGTGAAGGCTTCTGGGAGAAGCAAGACTCTTTATGGTCTGGAGTTACCCCTTGACTTTTGATCCACAAGGAGCCTTTCTGTGCGTATGTAGTGTCTCTCTTATCCCAAGAGGGGGAAGCGGAAATCCCTTCAGCCTTTACTCAAACAGGATTTTGCACCTCTCTGTCCTTGCCATGACTATTGCCTTAACACATTCACAAGAGACAAACACTGACTACTTACCCTGTTTCTGTTGTTACTTTCCTTTCGGAGGGCAAACAGGAGGCTGAGTGTAAATGCCTCAGCTGGAGCCCACCTGTCTGTTGCCTCAGGAGATGCAAACAGGAGGCCAGTTCTGAATGTCTAACCTGGAGCCCACCTATCTCCTACATCAAAGCCTGTGAGCCTACTCCTGTCCCTAAACGTGCAAATGAATCTAAAAGCCTCAAAAGCGGAAGCTTCACCAGCATGCCAGCCTGCAGTGAGTAGATGGACCAGTTGTCCTCCAGAGAGCCACAGAGCACAGTCCTCAGCTTTCCCATCTGTCAAGTGGGCCTCCCTCCAGAAGCGGTGGCTTGAGAGGCCTGCCTCCCTGGGATGGTCATGATCTTGACTGTTTGCTTGGGCCTGTGGGTATTTGCCCAGTGCTGGGGAGGGGTGGGGTGGCCAGGAGCAGAAAGGCTGTTGCTCTTAAGAGGGTCCCCTTGATGGGTGCCAGCCCGGAAGAGCACTCCTGAGAGCAGGAGCCAGACCTCCTGGGAGTGACGTGCCAGGCAAGCCATTCTGCCAAAACGGGCGACGTGCGTGGGGGCAGCAGAGGTGGCCGTCTGCAGGGGCCAGTCCTGACGGCCCCGGGGCCCTTGTGTGTCCACGCTGGCGGCCTGAGAGCGGCTTCTGTCCATCCCCCTCCCTGTGGGCTCCTCTGGGCTGACCGGTCTCAGACCCCGCCCCCCCAGCAGAGGAAGAGCTGCTGTCAGGAGTAGAAGGCTGGGTGATGGGTGGGTGCCTGGGGTCCTGCCTCCTCTCCAGGCCCCTCAGCCTTTCCCAGGGGCCAGCTGGGTGAGCTGGTAGGTCGGTCTCGCTCCCAGAGAACCAGAAGCTGGGCTGGCCCCAGTGAGCCACGGGGGTCCTCATGCCTCCCCTCCCCTGGGTCATCATCTGCCTTGGGCCAGGGCTGGCTCCAGGGCCAAGACTGGGAGAACCAGGGGAGGCGGGAGTCTAGGATGGACAGAGCCAGCAGGACCAGCCTAACCAGACCACTGGGGTTGAGTGCATCTGGGTGGCTGGTGAGGACTGAAAGAAAGCAGGTACACGTATTCATCCATTTATTCACTGGTTTGAGGAGGTACAAAGGACGGCTCAGGTGTACACAGCGGGGGGCCATAGCCTGAAGGCGATTCCATGCCCCATAGAGGCAGGGCTTGGGGCTTGGGCCTGGGAAGAGCCTGGACCTCAGCAAGTGGACTGAAGGGAAAGGGCACCATCCGTACATCTGTCCATCCACTCATCCCCCTGGGGCCTCCAGTGTGCCCGGCCCAGGGCGAGCACTTCCAGCCACAGCCTCCCTCACTCTCACCAGGCCCCAGTGTGGTGGGCGCTATCATCCTCATTTTAACCACAGAACAACTGGGGCTTGGAGACATTAACAAGCAGCTCCAGGTCAGCCTGAGCGACAGGACCCAGCAAACTGGGTGGGCGGGTGGGGGTGCTGGGATGAAAAGGAAAGAGGCCTTTCAGTTTCTTTCCACCTTTCTCAGAGGCTAGAATCGTGAAGAAGTACATCACCACAAATCACACGCTACAGAGGGAGGAGGAGAAGCAGCTGTCCGACCTCCCCTCTGCAATGTCATCCACACCCGGGCACCAGCCACAGGGCCACAATGGGGCACCCACGCCCTCCTTACGTGATGGCGCCAGGCCCGGCCCGCTTTCTGGGTCAGAGCTCTGGCACCGGCTTCTCAGCCGGACTCCAGATGGATGGATGGCGCAGGAGCCCGGGGGGGCGGTCCACGGAGGGCCGTCACCTGCTCAGGCAGCCGCTACTGGGACGCGCAGGCTGCTTCCAGACTTGAGATGCCGCCAAGAGCTGCGAGGATGAACTCGGGCACTGCCCGCCCCGTGAGGCTCTCGTTTCTTTTGGGGCCCCACTGCCCTGACACAGGTGGGGAAGGGGTCTGGGCCAGACAAGCCTGCCGTGCTGGGTGCCCCTCTGCCCTCCTCTCTGCTTCCCACCCCGGTCCGGCGCCCACACACAGGGCTGAACCCCTTGACTGTGGCATTTATGGCTTCTCACACCTAGCTCCAGTGTTCTTCTAAGCTTTCCTGACCTGAAGCTGTTATAATTACTTTACATGCTAAAGTCCTCTTAAACTTATAAACCCACCTTCCCAGCTTCCCCTTTCTCTCCCAGCTGATGGAAGAAGCAACTGCATGGTGGGGCGCGGTGCGGTGGGGGTGGGGCCGAGTGCTGTGGGGACGGGGGTGGGGCGGGGTGCGGTAGGGGTGGGGTGGGCGGCCAGTGGGGTGCTGTGGGGACGGGGGTGGGGCGGGGGTGCGGTGGAGGGAGGCAAGAAGTCCAGCCCGCCTTGGGCAGCCACTTCATCTCTGTCTCAGTCTCCCCGTCTGTCAAAGGGGCAGGTGACGGCACCCAGGTGCAGGGCTGTGCTGGAGCGCTTAGAGCCACGACTGCAGGGAAACTGGCAGCTGTTAGTTACTAACCTTCTAGACAGACAGTCCCGGCAAGTTTACCCGTTTGATTTCCAAGGGCTCCGCTGGTGCTCCTGCCTTTGCAGAGCCACACACTTCCCACCAGGGGGCCGGGCCTGGGCAGGAGCGGAACACCTTTCCGGGGCTCTACGCTGGGCTTCTCCCCCAGCCAGGCCAGGCAGAACCGTCTGCGGCGGTGGTGTAGGCAAACTGGTCCCCAGCGCTGGGGCAGTGCCATGGGCGTTGGCATGGGCCCAGATCAGCGTGGACAGATGGATGCAGGAGTAAGACGCACCGCCCCCCGCAACACAACTCTCTCAGCTGCCACTGGATCCCGGCTCCCAGTGGCCCCAGAGCCCACATGGGGCCACGCAGGGCTCCACTCCATCCTCGCTGGAACCAGGCGGGGGGAGGGAGGACCCGGTCTAGCCGAGGAGCCACTAGACCCGGGACAAAGCGCTTGCACAAGCGGTCGATGACCCAGCTTCCCTGGCCTCTCCTGCTGAGTCAACAGAGCAGTGTGCCCGCGGCTGCCCCCCCCCTCCCCCCGCCGCTATCGGCCTGCACGTGCAGCGGGGGGTTTGGTCTCCTCCCTGAGGTGGCCCACTCCTGGGGGTCTTTGGGAAGAGGAGCTGGGGGTCAGGCTTCCTCCCAGCCTCCTCCAGGGAGGGGCTCACACAGACTGGGCGGGGCACCCGGTCGCTCCCTGGGCTGAACACTCCACCCGCCGTTCCTTCTGCTTGGAGGCCCTCTGCTAAGTCTGACCCAGCCCCAGCTAAGGACTTCTCGCGCCGGCTTCCCCAAAGCGTCCAGGTCTCTGACGTCTGGGGGTCTCAGAGGGAAGCTCTGAGGAAAGGATCTCCAGCACAGGTCCCCCTGACAGGGGCCACGCTTAGCGGCCAAGAACTTCTGAGTTCCAGGGACAACCCCCACGGGGCCGTCTGCCATCATCCGGCACACGCGGGCTGTGCTGGCTGGAAGGCTCCCCTCCGCGGACAGACCCGGGCTTCCGCAACCTGGAGGGGTGGGGCTCACCTGGGGTGGGTACCCTTTAAATGATAAGCTTTCTTGGGTCCCTGGGCTTTCCTGGTGGCTCAAAAGGTAAAGAGTCTGCTTGCAATGCGGGAGACCCAGGTTCCATCCCTGGATCAGGAGGATCCGCTGGAGAAGGACAGGGCAACCCACTCCAGTATTCTTGTCTGGAGAATCCCAAGGAGAGAGGAGCCTGGGGGCTAACGTCTGTGGGGTCTCAAAGAGTCGTACACGACTGAGCGACTCTGTCTTTCTGGGTCCCTGGGGATCTCGAGACCCAGCGTGATTTGGGGGCAGCTGAGAGCCGCTTCCAGGGATGAGGCAGGAGCGCTCCAGCCGGTGCAGAGCTCTCTCCCTCCCCGCGGGCGGGGTCAGAGTCGAGGGGCCGCGAAACCCCTCGGCCTACGGAACCGACGCCGGCGCGCCACGCCCCGCTTCAGCCCGGACCCTGGTGCGATCGCCCGCAGCCAGGGGCGAGGGAACGCCCGCTGAGCGCGGAGGGAGCTCGGCCTCCGACCCTACGCTGTGATCCCTCCTCCCGTCCTCGGCCTCCCCTTCTCCCGAAGCCCGCCTTCCCCGCCCCTCCGGCAGGCCCAGTCCGCCCTCGCCCGGTGCGGCCCCGAGCGTCCCGAGAGGGCGGCCCCCGCCCGCCCTCCTGCCCCCGCGTGTCCGACGGGGTTGGGCGAATCCTTTCGGGCACCCGGCAAGAGTTCACTCCGTGAAAGGGCGCCCTCCGCCAAGCCTGCTTAGGGCTGCAGACCAGGCTTCGGGTGGCTGCGGCTCAGCACCCTTCCCTCCTGGCCCAAAAATAGCCCAGGGATCAGCTCTCAAGCTTCACCAAATATAGCCTGATCTGTCCGGACCCACGTCCTGAGCAGGGGCCTGGCGCCGGATCGGGAGGGCCCTCGGGGGCCTCTTCAGGCCGAGCTAGTCCCTCCCCTGCCAGGGCTGCCTGGAACGAGGGCACAGCCCAGGGGGCCCAGGCCTGTTTCCCTCCGCCCTCCAGCCCTCTCCGCCCCAGGCAGCCCTCCTGGAGCCCCTGAGAGCCTGCTTCCTGGATCCGGCCCCCACCCCCGGGCCTGATCGCCCCTCCCCCTCCAGCATACCTACAAGGCAGAGGGGCCAAAGGGCCCCTTCAAATCAGTGTTCCTGGGCCAACAGCACGCTGTGCCCTCGTCCCAGTCCTTGGATGAGGAGAGGCTTATCTGCCTCGTCAAAGCCAGAAGCCTTGGGAGGTGTAGTCAGCCTTTAGGAAACCATCAGCCTTTAGGAAACCACATTACAAATGGGAAGCAGACCCCAGGGTGGCTGGGGGAGGTCAACAGTCCTCTTGCAGACGGTCCTGGGTGTGGCTGTGGGGTCCGAGGAGGGCAGAGGGAGGGTGGGGGTGTCGGGGGAGAGGGTGGGGCTATGCTTTGCCCTCTCTGGTTTTAGAGCAGACCCCAGAGGGTGGCCAAGGGTATAAGCGCCAGGGCCAGGGTTGCGAGGGTGGCGAGGCCAGCGCCGTTACAGAGGTCATACTGGCAGCAGGAAGTAGTGGATGCGTGCTTGGAGTAGCCGTCGTACACGGTCTCAAAGCAACTGGGCACACAGGACTTGCTCACCTTCATCCTGGTCGGGGTGTAGTCTGCAGAGGGAGGGAAGGTAGGCCAGGACCCTGAGAGGGGCCAACCCGAGCATGCAAGGCCATTAGGCCAGGTTCCCCTCCGCCTGGGGCTCCCAGAAAGGATCCTGGAGCAGGTGGGAGCCTCCCTCCTCAGCCTCCCCAACACTACTCCCTGCCCCGCCCCGGTGCTCCCCAGAGAGGGCTGGGGGAGCATGCCAGGAACTCACAAGTGCGCGTTGTCATGCAGTAGGAGACCATGGCCGGGCAGCGCATGGGGTTGAAGCAGTTCTCCCCATTGTAGGCGCACACATGGCAGTCCAGAGCCTGGGCTGGGGCCGGAGAGGGGCCGCAGGGACAGGGGGTCAGAGAACAGGGCGAAGCCCCTCGTCCAGCCCATCAGCCCCCGGGGCCCATCACCTTCCCCAAGAAGAACTGGAAGGAGAGGTGGTCTGGGATTTCTGCCACCATCCCAACTCAGCCTGGATGACCCCAAAGGTAGGTCTGTCCATCCCTCTGTTCTCTGTCCATCTTACCCACAGGAAGGCCCACCAGGGCCACCAAGAACAGGGTGAGCAGGGGCGTCATGGCTGGGGGCCAGAGGGCAGAGTGGGAGCAGGGATGTGGAGAGCAGTTGGTCCTTGATTCAACTCAGGCCAGGGCTGGGGCAGGGCACAGAGCAGGTGGGACAACCCCCTGCCCTCCCGGAGCTCCTGGTCAACTGGAGGCGCTGTGTTCCTGCACAGAGGGCAACAAGGACGGGAGGTCATAGTAGGGCCTGAGGGACCCACAGGGGGCTTGGGCAGAGGGGCCACCCAGCTCAGCCTGGAAGGCTTCCTGGAGGAGGAGACATGAATGAGATGGGAAGGAAGCAGGGGGGCCACTCCAACGAGACACACAAGTGCCTGTAAAAGGGCAACACCTGTGCACACCAGAGGCGGCAGTGCCACAGTTAGGGTGGGGTGCCAAGCAAAGACTGGAGGGGAAAGCTTGAATGCTAGACCAGAACCCACACCCTCCCTGGGGATGGTTGAGGCAGGGGCGCTAGGGAACTTGGCACCCAGCCCTCTCCCACCCAGAGCCCTGAGTACAAGGGTGCCCTTGGGCACTGAGGAGTGGGTCTGTCCTCACTACTCCCCTCCCCTTCAACCCCTGGCGTGTCTTTGCATGGACCCCCACTTTCAGGGCCCAGCTGGGGGTCCTTCTCCTGGGAGACTTCCGAAGCCCTCAGCCATTGCGGGGCTCGCGGCATTGGTGGGCTGCAGCTCTGTCCAGTCTGCAGGGGGGCCCTTGGGCAGGACAAGAACTTCCCAGCCGGATCCGCTGTTTGGAGCGGAGATGCCCCCTCTCCAGACAGGCTCTGGGCGAATCCGACTACGACTTCCCTCCCTGCGTGACTTCCCTCCCTGCGCGGGGACACTCCAGCCCCGCCTCTGCGCCAAAGGGGGCTAAATCAGACTCTCCCCTTCCAGAGAACAACAAACCCGTCTTCCATGACCCATTTTCCAGGCGTCCCCCTCGGGGTATCCACGGTCTGAGTAAGGCCGGGCCTGCAGCGTCAGCTCTTCCCCGCCCCCTCCCGGGGAGCCCCGCCCCCGCGACTGCGGTCCCAAGTTGGGGGATGACCTCAACCATGACCTTCATTCACCACACCGAGGCCCCGTTAAGCCTGGGACTCACCTGCGGCCGCTCTCCAGCCCCTGCAACTCGGGTCTGATAGCACGGCCGTCGCTCCGTGCGCCCCGCAGTGACCACGCCGCGTCGCCGCCCCCGAGGCAGAGCCGCCAGTCGCCGGCGACCTCACTGCAGGCCCCGCCCCGCCCCTCCCCGCCCGCCTGCGGGCTCGTCCCTCCTGCGGGGCTGGGACCCCCGGCAACAGTCCATGATGCCAAGGCCTCTAGGCCCCGCGGGGACACCCACGCGACGCTCAGACGCACGCGCACCGCGGGACACGTCTGGCCCTGCCTCGCTCTCTCTGCTTCCAGCAGCCGCAGCCGCCCACTCACCCCGCGTTACGGGTTACGTAGTCAGCCCCGCACCCCAGCAGCCCGCTGCGCCCCCTCCTTCCACTCAGTTTAACAGGGAGGGGTGGGGGTGGAGTGGAGGCGACTTCTGGACCGGGCTTCTGGGTCCCCAACCTGACCCTCCTTTACCTGCAGTGTGACCTCCGCAAGCCACCCAGCCTCTCTGGGCCTCCTCCCCACACCTGGTCCCACCCAACACAGGGCTAAAGCAAGTCTTGAAAGGAGTCCACTGTTTCATAAATCCCTTAAACATTAATAATAATGTTTAAGGCAAAATTTAAGATTTTCGTGGGCCCTAAATTTTTTTTCTAATGTGAGAAAAGAATACATAAGGAAATGTATGACCCTAAATTTTATTTTTCTTTCAAAGAGCTGAGCCATTTTGGGGGCCCTAGGCACTGAGCCTCCAAAGTGAATTTAAAAAGATGGTAACGATAACCCAATATGCAAAACAGAAAAAGAGACACAGATGTACAGAACAGACTTTGGGACTCTGTGGGAGAAGGCAAGGGTGGGATGTTCTGAGAGAATAGCATTGGAACAAGTATACTATCAAGGGTGAAACAGGCCACCAGCCCAGGTTGGATGCATGAGACAAGTGCTCAGGGCTGGTGCACTGGGATGACCCAGAGGGAGGGGATGGGGAGGGAGGTGGGAGGGGGGGTTCAGGATGGGGAACACATGTAAATCCATGGCTGATTCGTGTCAGTGTATGGCAAAAACCACTACAATATTGTAAAGTAATCAGCCTCCAACAAATAAAAATAAATGAAAAAAGAAAACAAAGTGAGGTGGGCACTCTCTCTGGATGGACTGGAATGGTTGGTCACCCTGTTTGCCAAATAGTCACTGAGATGCCACAGGTGCCAGGTGTTGGGGATAAAACTGACAAACACTCCCAAATATTCTTGACATCATGAAGCTTACAATCTAATGAGGCATAAAATAAACACAAGGGTGTGGAACCCTGTGTGTGTTGTGGCCTTCATCCTCAGATCATGATGAATTAGGGTGTTGCCAAACTCAGCTTCTGTTCACTGCTGCCAAATAGAAATGCAGGGACAGAGTTTTTGGTGCAGTAGAAAAGAGGAGCTTTTATTGCTTTGCCAGGCAAAGGGGGCCACAGTGCGCTAGTGCCCTCAAGACTGTCTGGCCCACCCTGGAGGGAGTGGTGAGGAGTTTATAGTGTTCAAGGAGCATGATCAACTCATGGAAAAGTCTTGGATTGGCTGGTGTCAAGGTGGAGTTTGAAGCATCATCAACCTTCCAGTTTCAAACAGTGTAGGGTCTATGTCCTTGTGGTCAGCAGTTTTCATCTAAGTGGGAGAGGGGGGGGGTCTGCTTCCTGTAAAACAAATGAGGAATGTGTGTCAGACCTTCATGTAGATCTTTCAGGGAGCTGGGAGTTTGGTAATTCTGCTATGGGGCAGAATTACAGTCTAAATTGTTACCAGTTGCCCAACCCAACAGCTATTCTTTGTTTCTACATTTTCACATTTCCCAATTATTAACTCCTTCCTGAGTCAGAATTTTACTTCCAAAGACAAGGATACAGGGTCTTGCAGATGGTTTCAAGTCCCACCTTTTCTTTGGTATTCCTCAATCTTGAGGAGGAACAGATGCAGAACAAGAAAGGGAAGAAAGTTCTAGATTGAGAGGTTAATCGTAAATTTGGCAGAGGAACTTGGTTTCTGTTCTGTTTCTATTTCAATTTCCCTCAGCTCTTTAGGGAATGGGATGACAACTGCTCTGGTTACGTCCTGCTGAAGTGGGGCGTAGTCCTGCCTAATTTGGGGAATGGACACAGAGTTGGAAATAATCTTGAGTTCCAAGATTAACATCAATATTTTGTATTAAGAAAATATTGTATCTCTTTGATTGCTTTGCTCTAGTACCTGGACAACCATTTGAAAATTATTAGACATACTGCAATGAAGATAATGGTTAAAACACATCTTTGTACTCTTTTTCAAAGAAGCCTTCCTGTTTTTTGATGGCAACCAGGAAATGTAAGTTTTGGAGTGTTTCCTGCTTACACATATTCAGTAACCAAGGAGTCTCTGCTGGGAGTCTGTAGGTTGAGTCGTCTCATTGGCTACTGCTTTTGTTGTTGTTCAGTTACTCAGTCCTGTCCGACTTTTTGCAACTGCATGGACTGCACATCAGGCCTCTCTGTCCATGAAGGACTATCTCCCTGAGTTTGCTCAAACTCATGTCCACTGAGTCAGTGATGCCATTCAACTATCTTGTCCTCTGTCGCCCTCTTCTCCTCCTGCCCTCAATCTTTGCCAGCATCAGGGTCTTTTCCAATGAGTCACCTCTTTGCATCAGGTCACCAAAGTATTGGAGCTTCAGCTTCAGCATCAGTCCTTCCAATGAATATTCAGGGTTGATTTCCTTTAGGGTTGACAGGTTTGATCTCTTTGCTGTCCAAAGGACTCTCAAGAGTCTTCTCCAGCACCACAGTTCAAAAACTATTGTTTTTACAGTAGGATAAAGATTTCATAGACCATAAGGTTGAAATTGGCAGCTGCTAGTAGATACTGTTTTAAAAATGGCTGATGGTGTCCTCAAGTCTGATAAAGTTTAGAGAACTCAAGTTTTCAGTAATATAGAAATATGTCTGAACCCATATCCACACTGACAATCTAGTTCCGCTTTGGATGTCTGAACCACAGTCATTCCATTCTGATTTTTTAATGTAATTTTTAATGGCTAAAGCAGATGTAAATGCATGTTTAATAGGCCACAAACAGGATGTTTTGGTTAGCCTAAAGTTCAAAACAATCATGTATAAGCCAGAATGATTTCCCATATTTCAATATGCAAAAATTTCTTCCATCATTTTCCCCCTTTGATTGCAAATCTTTCCATAAATGGCATTGGCCATCAATATATTTTTCCAATGTTGCCAGAGTGACTCGGTTACCTGCTCTGGGTCCATTTATTTCCCTCAGTGCTAGACCTCTTTGTTTACATATTTGCCTAGTTGTCCATGTTGGGGGGAAAACTAATCAGATGTCATGAACTGGCTCAGAGGTATGTGAATGGGGAAATGCTTTGTAGGCTATACATTTTACCATTTATCCCCAATTGTCACACAAGCATTGTACACGTGCTTTAAGCAGTGCATTTAAAATAAGCAGTGATACGTGTCATGAATAGTTATATTCCGTGACAGCTTCACTAGAGAATTTTCTTTTTTAATCCTGAATATTGGGGTCAAAAGCATGGTTAAAAGTAAAACAATAACTTTCCATTTTGATAGGAAGACAAACATTTGGTAGACAGTGCAGTTGCATTAGTTGGATGGTTCTTACAGGCCTGGTCCAGATTTTAAAATCAGCTGTCTTCCACTGTTGTTGTCTTCTTCTCTTCTTAATATGGGTGTTATTTGGGGTCAACAGTCTTTTCTATAGACAGTCCAATGCACAGGCCTTTCTCAAGTGGGAAATATGAATTCAAGAGTCAGTTCCCTTCAGTATTGTTGCACAGGTACTGGTTAAGAGTACCTGATATGGGTTCTTTTATTTAGTTTGAAGACAGTCCTTTAAAGGATGCCTT